CGTTATTTGTGGCCCATGGATGGCCCTCGGGCTCGCTGGTGGGTTGGGCACAGGGTCCTCAGAGGGCCTCCAACACGCTCTCATGAAATATCAACACAACAGTGGCCTCCACCCTGTCCCACGGGGCACCCCGTGAATCAGCAGCTTCTAAGCAAACGCCCCTGGAATGTGTGTTACATAACGTGCATATGCTCCCGTCTAGTCAGGTGTTATTTTAATTTTAGTTAATTTTAATGTTTTCACCTTTTCAGCTTAAAACAGACATAAACATATTGTAATATTTTCTCCCGAGCCCACATTAGGAACGACCTCCGAAGACCCATTCTTCACTTCGGGTTTATAGGTTCCTCCGTGAAACTTTGCAGGGTCTACACACATGCACAAAACACACAACTTTACATAAAACTGTCCAGTATCCAGACGGGACCTGGTGTCCACCTGTATCTGTAGATTCCAGATCAAGAACCCAACAGAAGCGGGGGCACCAGGTAAGCGAGCGCTGGACGGATTTCTCCTCCTAAAACGGGGTAGTCTGGCCCCACAGATTTTCACTCCTCCACCACCTGAAGCCACACTCAGGTGAGAGGAAGGCTCAGGGGCAGTTTTTCCTGAGACGGTGAAGGGCTGACTGGTGCCACGTGGCAGGGAAGGGTCCAGCAGAAGGAATTGCAGCGGAAGCGACGAGGAGAAGGTCAGAAGCACAGCGTGTCCTTCGGACAGCACGGATGGCATGGGGCTCGGAGGCTAGGACGTGAAGGGTAGGGCAATACCTGCCTTTCTCTCTCTCTCTCTCTCTCTCTCTCCACTACTCCTTCTGGGTGAAGCCAGATGCGGTGCCAGCAGCAGCTCTGTGGAGAGGCCCGCAGGTGAGAAGCTGAGGCCTCCCACCCACAAACCAAGGTATGTACCATCCTGGAAGTGGGTCCAACACTGGCTGAGCCTTCAGGGAATGCAGCCCCAGACCCCCTGCCAGAACCACCCAGGGACATTTGGAACTTGACAGAGAAGAATGAAAAGGGCCGTGTGTCGTGGCTCACATCTGCAATTCCAGCGTTTTGGGAGGTTGGGGTGGGAGGCTCACCTGAGCTCAGGAGTTCAAAACCAGTCTGGGTAACATAGTGAGATTTCATCGCTCCCAAAACCACAAAAATTAGTTGTGCATGGTAGTGCACACCTGTAGTCCCAGCTGCTGGGAGGCCGAGGTGGGAGGATGGCTGGAGCCCAGGAGGTCGAGGCTGCAGGGAACTATGATTGCACCACTGCACTCAGCCTGGGTGTCAGAACGTGACTGTCTCAAAAAAAAAAGTTAAGGCCAGCAAAACAAAAGAAAAATATAACTTCAGTTTATCATTAATGAATACACCCAATTTATAAATCAACTATTAGAAGAATCCAATACGATTATTAAAACATGTAGGTGGATCATGACGTCAGGAGTTCAAGACCAGCCTGACCAGCATGTTGAAATCCTGTCTCTACTAAAAATACAAAAATTAGCTGGGCATGGTGGCGCACACCTGTAGTCTCAGCTATTCACGAAGCTGAGGAAGGAGAATCGCTTGAACCCAGGAGGCAGAGGTGGCAGTGAGCCAAGATCACCCCACTGCACTCCAGCCTGGGAGACAGAGCGAGACTCCATCTCAAAAAAAAAGAGGCAAGTCATAAGTAGGGTTTATTCCAAGAATGTTAAGATGGCTCACGGTCAGGAAATGCATCATAGTAACTCATTACAGAAGCGCCTTGAGGGAGAGAAGAAGTCACACATCCATCTCAGCAGATGCAGCGTTAGCCATGCCGTCCCTGACCCTGAGCTGAGGCACAGAGTGTCTTCTGTAACCTGATAAATTCCCGAAGGGAGTATGGGGTTCTCCTGAAGGTAAGTGTGGTATTTGAAGAGGACATGCTGGGTCGGGTGCTGGTGACCGGCTGTGGGTCAAGGAGGAAGCGAATCTGGAGCACTGATGGCGCTCGGGTCTGAGGGGAGCGCCCGCCCCTGTGTGGGGCCCAGGGAAGATGGTGGCTGATCTCAGACAGTGTTAAAATGTTCAGTCACCACTGGGGAAGAGTAGAAGTAAAAACATCAGTGCCGACCAGTAGGAAAAGAAAGAAACGTCGCCAAGTCCACAAAAGCAGGAAAAGAGGATTTTAAAGGCCCATGAAAAGGAAAATGTAAGAAAAAAAAGAAAGGCATGGAAACAGTGGCGCTCACGAGATTTAGAGACACGGTGCTGACCCACACGCGTGGGGGGAGGCCAGGATCGCTGCCCACCGGGGAGGCAAGCCGCCCAGCGACGCCAGCGCAGTGCCATCCTCAGGAGCGCCCAAGGCCAGCGACCCCCAGCCTCTCTTGGTGCCCGCGACTGGTTTTGTAGAAGACAATTTTCCCACAGACCCGGGGGGCGGGGGCCGGCTGGCGTCAGGATGAAACGGTTCCATCTCAGGTCATTAGGCCTTAGTTAGATTCTCGTAAGGAGCCTGCAGCCCAGATCCCTGGCAGGCACAGTTCACAACAGGATTCTCCCTCCATAGAGAATCTCATGCCGGGCGGCTCCTGGCCGCGCTCACCTCCTGCTCTGCGGCCTGGTTCCCAGCTGGGCGTGACTGCAGCCTGGGGGTTGGGACCCCTGTCCTAGGACGTCGGGTCCATCCATGGCTCTAACCCCCACCCACCTGGAGGCTGTGGAAAGGGCCCGAGGAGGTGCAGAGCAGAGATGTCATGAGCACAACTTTTCTCTCTGGGAAAGCAGGTGGGCTCGGCTGTGAGCAGACGTCGGTCAAGGCCGGTCTCCCTTCTCTTGGCTTCAGCGCTTCCTGCGTCACTCGATTGTGTGGGGTCCGTGTGATTTTCTCCCGGGCCGCAGGGCACCGTAGTCTTCGATTTCTGCCGTTGCCGAGGCTGTCTGCCTGCTGTCCTCTCCCTGACGTACATTTTGTCACCACACCCTTGGGCCACGTTCGGCTTTTGTCTACTTCGTAGAGAAATTGTTCCCCTGTCTTTGCGTTTATGGCCTCTCTGAGGAGCACCCGGGACCAGCTGGGTCGGAGCAGCCTCCTCAGCCCAGACGGTGGTGGCAACGTTGCGCCAGCCTGTGGGGGTCGGTGACCAAACCGCTGGGGGCTGAGGCTTTCGAATTCTGCGTTCACTTCTTCCTGGGGCATGTCATGCTCTGCGCTGAAGATTTGGATCTTCCTTCGGATCACGGCGCATCTCTTTGGCTTTTGGATCTGTTTTCCTCCTCATTTGTTAGAGGCTCCAGCACTCACACCGATGCGGGGTCTCTCCTGTCCCCGTCCGCCACCCTCTCTCTGGCTGATCCCACGGCTTCGGGCTTAGCAACACCGTGAGCATCTGAACCCTTTCTCAGACGGCAGCGATCCGAGTCCCAGCCACCTCCGTTCTGCCCTCACTCTTCCTGATCACCAACTCCACCTGTAATGACTTCTGGGGCTCATTTATTTCCTGAGGCCTCCACTCTTCCTTTTAAAACTTACTCGATAGGCCGGGCGTGGTGGCTCAAGCCTGCCATCCCAGCACTTTGGGAGGGCAAGGCGGGTGGATCACTTGAGGTCAGGAGTTTGAGACAAGCCTGGCCAACGTGGTGAAAACCAATCCGTACAAAAATGCAAAAATGAGTGGCCATGGTGGCGCACGCCTGTGGTCCCAGCTACCTGGGAGGCTGAGGCAGGAGAATCACTTGAACCTGGGAGGCGGAGGTTGCAGTGAGCCAAGGTCACACCATTGCACTCCAGCCTGGGCAACAGAGTAAGATTCCATCTCAAAAAATAAAAATAAGTAAAATAAAACTTACTCCATAATTGTATCATCTCATCTGAGAGAGAATTTGCTGCTGTGTTTGTAACTATTTGCTGCAAAACTCAACTGTTTGCAGGGTGGCGAGTTCGCTCAGAAAGGTTTGTCTCTGGCCCGCCGCAGTGGCTCATTCATGCCTGTCATCCCAGCACTTTGGGAGGCTGAGGAGGGTGGATCACCTGAGGTCGGGAGTTCGAGACCAGACTGACCAACATGGAGAAACCCCGTCTCTACTAAAAACACAAGATTAGCTGGGTGTGGTGGTGGGTGCCTGTAATCCCAGCTACTCGGGAGCGGGAGAGAGGAGAGTGACTTGAACGTAGGCGGTGGAGGTTGCAGTGAGCCGAGGTCAGACCATTGCACTCCAGCCTGGGCAACAACGGGGAAACGCCATCTCAAAAAAAAAAGAGAGAGAGAGAGAGAAGGGTTTGTCTCCCTCCTTTCCCTCCCTCTCTTCTCTTTCCTGAGGTTTGTTTCATAGCTGTTACAGAATCTCAGGTCACGTCTCTCGGGTTTGGTCAATCCTGCCTAGATCTTCCACCTATGTTGAAACAAAATGGGGCACTCCTGGTCCCCTTCCCCAGCACCTGAGCGCGGAGCTGCTGAGCTCTGGCGAGCACCCGGGCTGTGTGCTGCTCTGCGTGCGTCTGGTGCGGCCTCTGGCAGGGCTGGTGGGGGGACAGTTTTATTAGGAGGCCTGGGTTCTGCTCTCACGATCGGTCTTATGAGATGTCCCCACCTGAGCCTCTCCACGCCCAGCTGGGGGGAGTGGTCTGTTGCCACGTGGAACTGCGTCCTCTGACCCTATTAGCCCCGGGAACCACGGAGCCTATGCCCCTCTCACCTTTTCCAGATAAGACAAGGCCTTTTACCCAAAGCTTGAAGGACATTGTTTTTTATTGAGACGGAGTTTCGCTCTTGTTACCCAGGCTGGAGTGCAATGGTGCGACCTCGGCTCACCGCAACCTCCGCCTCCCGGGTTCAGGCAATTCTCCCGCCTCAGCCTCCCGAGTAGCTGGGATTACAGGCACGCGCCACCATGCCCAGCTAATTTTTTGTATTCTTAGTAGAGACGGGGTTTCACCATGTTGACCAGGATGGTCTCGATCTCTTGACCTCATGATCCACCCGCCTCGGCCTCCCAAAGTGCTGGGATGACAGGCGTGAGCCACCGCGCCCGGCGGGGACATTCATTTTTTTATACCATCTAATAATGTTGGCGAGGCAGCAACGACTGAGGCAAAGTGAGAGTCGCTTTAAAAACGTCAGAAGTTAAACTCCAGGACAAACCTGTGGAAGACAAAGCAGACTGAACACAAGGGATTTGTTCTCTCAATAACGAGAAGTCAAAGAGAAATGTAATTCATGTTGGAGTAAAAGAATCACCCTCACGAAGAGATTAACAACAGAACGATAATCGAGATCCCCCATCCACCATGAAATTCAAGAGGATTGTGTTTTTGAGACGAGTCTGTCTCTGTCACCCAGTCTGGAGTGCAGTGGCGCGATCTCAGCTCACCGCAACCTCCGCCTCCTGGATTCAAACAATTCTCCTGCCTCAGCTTCTTGAGTAGCTGGGATTACAGGCACCTGCTGCCACGCCTGGCTAATTTTTGTATTTTTAGAAGAGACACCGTTTCACCACGTTGGTCAGGCTGGCCTCCAACTCCCAACCTCAGGTGACCCGCCGGCCTTGGCCTCCCAAAGTGCTGGGATTTACAGACGTGAGCCGCCGCCTCTAGCCTCATGAGGATTTTTAAAATAAATGATACTCCCCACGTGGAGCTGGGATTGCGATAGCACCCAATGACCTGAAGCCGCTGCACCCGGGTGTAAGACCGAGCCCGGCTGCAACACGTTTTTCTTCCATTAGCCTCTTCAATTACACGGATGAAAGCATCGTTTTTTAAAAATTTGCTTTACACAGAAATCACAGTTTCAAAGAAAAATATAATGCCATAGATGGGGAGAAAAAAATGAGAAGAAAGCAGCCAAAATGATCTTTGTAGAAACCCATCCCCCCGGCCACGTGAGGAAAACGGGGGGCAGGTGACCAGGTTCAGCACAGGTCCAGTGCCAATGAGGAAGTGGGTACATTTAGAAACGGAAGAAGGTGGACGTTCGGCACGATGGCAGGTCCACGAGAACCCGAAGTCCAGCAAACAAATCATCACATGAGCGGGACGTGCTGGGGATGGTGGAGCGACCGAGGTCTCAGAGCAGCTCTACCCGGGGATATAAGGGGTCCAGGCTCCAGGGGCTCCACACCTGCACCTCCCTCTCACCTGCTCCTCTACCAGCTCCACCCTCAACCCACCAGAAACATGGGCTGCTGTGGCTGCTCCGGAGGCTGTGGCTCCAGCTGTGAGGGGTGTGGCTCCAGCTGTGGAGGCTGCAACTCTGGCTGTGGGGGCTGTGGCTCCAGCTGCTGTGTGCCCGTCTGCTGCTGCAGGCCTGTGTGCTGCTGTGTGCCAGCCTGTTCCTGCTCCAGCTGCGGCTCCTGTGGGGGCTCCAAAGGGGGCTGTGGCTCCTGTGGCAGCTGCAAGGGAGGCTGTGGCTCCTGTGGGGGCTCCAAGGGGGGCTGTGGCTCTTGTGGCAGCTGCAAGGGAGGCTGTGGCTCCTCTCAGTGCAGTTGCTGTAAGCCCAGCTGCTGCTCCTCTGGCTGTGAGTCATCCTGCTGTCAGTCCAGCTGCTGCAAGCCCTGCTGCTCCCAGTCCAGCTGCTGTAAGCCCTACTGCTGCTCCTCAGGCTGTGGGTCATCCTGCTGTCAGTCCAGCTGCTGCAAGCCCTGCTGTTCCCAGTCCAGCTGCTGTAAGCCCTGCTGTTCCCAGTCCAGCTGCTGTAAGCCCTGCTGTTCCCAGTCCAGCTGCTGTAAGCTCTACTGCTGCTCCTCAGGCTGTGGGTCATCCTGCTGTCAGTCCAGCTGCTGCAAGCCCTGCTGTTCCCAGTCCAGCTGCTGTAAGCCCTGCTGCTGCTCCTCAGGCTGTGGGTCATCCTGCTGTCAGTCCAGCTGCTGCAAGCCCTGCTGTTCCCAGTCCAGCTGCTGTAAGCCCTGCTGTTCCCAGTCCAGCTGCTGTAAGCCCTGCTGCTGCTGTTCCTCTGGCTGTGGGTCATCCTGCTGTCAGTCCAGCTGCTGCAAGCCCTGCTGTTCCCAGTCCAGCTGCTGTAAGCCCTGCTGCTGCTGCTCCTCTGGCTGTGGGTCATCCTGCTGTCAGTCCAGCTGCTGTAAGCCCTGCTGCTGCTGTTCCTCTGGCTGTGGGTCATCCTGCTGTCAGTCCAGCTGCTGTAAGCCCTGCTGCTGCTGTTCCTCTGGCTGTGGGTCATCCTGCTGTCAGTCCAGCTGCTGTAAGCCCTGCTGCTGCTGTTCCTCTGGCTGTGGGTCATCCTGCTGTCAGTCCAGCTGCTGTAAGCCCTGCTGCTCCCAGTCCAGCTGCTGTGTCCCCGTGTGCTGCCAGTGCAAGATCTGAGGCTCTGGACTCTGGCCTCATGGGAGTCCTGCTAATCCCGTCTTCCGAAGCTGTGGCCTGTCCTTCATCATTGAGCCCCAAACCACTGCTCAGGGTCCATTCCCCGTTGCAGAATGAAGCCCTATCTCCTTTTCCTAAGGAGAGTCCACCCTAGTTAACGTCCATCCTCTCTCCTAACCAATTCTCTTCTCAAGTCGACTGCGACTGCGGCTGAGTCACCCCTCCCCTGTGAGCCTCAGCTTTGCTCGTCTACTTGGAGGCTGAGCTCCTGAACCCACGTGCACTGGTGTCTTTTCCAGCTAGGAGCAGCTGGGCATGCGCATTCCACCTGGAACAAGGTGGGCGTCTAAGAGGCTTCCTTGGGTGGCTTTGCACGTCCCACACTCTGCTTTCTCTTAAACGGAATGTTGCAAGCTAATAAAAGTCTCATGCGGACAAACTGAAACGCACGTCTTCCTGATTCCTCTGTTGTTCTGCGTCATTACTGTGTCTGTGGCTGTTGTCTTCTCGTTGTTGTATTTCGGATGCATGGCTCTGATGGTCCTGTCGGTGGAGGTGCTGGCGTGAGACTGGCTGTCTCCCTGCCTCTCGTCTCCTTCCCGGCTGAGCCCTGTTTTCTCAGAAGTCCTCGGGTGTTTCCAGCTGTTGGTCTGAGACACAGGACTGCTCCTCGGGCCGGGGCCACAGAAGCAGAAGAGGCAGCTGAAAAATCCAGGGATTTCAGACCTGCCTCTGTTCCCTGGTCCCCGGCCCTGCCATCTTCCTTTGGGGAGTTTTTGTTACCAACTTACTCTGATCGTCTTTGTTATTAAACAGCCCTGTTACCTCCGTAAATAGACATCTTTCTAAACTCTTCTCACTGCGATTGCTTTTTTCCAGCTGCCATCGAGGGAAATCCCTAAGTCTTAGTCAATATGGCCAGAGACACTGAGCATGAAGACAGAGCCGCTATGATTCTGCGTTTGAGGACTGTGCACCCAGCCTCTTGCTGCAAGAAACTCCCACAGGCCCGCTGGTCTGAGGAACGAGGCTCCACTCGCACATCTCCACTCAGAGCCCTTCACTTGTTTCTTCCACTCTGCTTGGGAAATTGCCAAGAAAGAGAAAGCACAATGGCTGTTTTCCAAACTCGGGGCCTTAGGGAACACCCTTCTGAAGTCTCCCCTGTCACCACACCACCCCAACGACATTCTTCCAAAATTCTTAAAAGGCAATATTGGCTGGGTGCAGCGGCTCAGGCCTATAATTCCAGCACTTTGGGAGGCCAAGGCAGGTGGATCATTTGAGGTTAGGAGTTCAAGACTCACCTGGCCAACGTGATGAAACCCTGTCTCTATTAAAAATACAAAAATTAGCTGAGTGTGGTGGCACGTGTTTGTAATCCCAGCTACTTGGGAGGCTGAGGCAGGAGAAAGGTGTGAGCCTGGGAGGCGGAGGTTGCAGTGAGCCAGGATTACACCACTGCACTCCATCTTGGGCAACAGAGCAAAACTCCATCTCAAAAAAAGAGGCAATATTAATAGAGTTGAATTACTTCAAGTTATCTGGAAACACAGCACTTCATTGGTGGGATACATCCTAAGCATAGAGAGAACACAAAAATGAAAATCCTAAGCTGTTTCTAGCAGTCACAGTGGCGGTGGTGTGGCGTCGTTATCCTGCTGTGAATGTTGGATGGAAAAAGCTAATACGTAATTAGGTTGGTGTCAAAACTAGAATTTTTGGTGTGGAAGCGATGAGGTTAAATAAAAACCTTGTCATCCTGAATTTGAACTAGACACATCGTTAGGAAATCACGATTTATTTTCTCCAAATAAAAATAGTTTCCTCCTCTATTGGAAGACTTAGAAATAATGAGCCATCCCGTAGCAGTGAGCACTCCTAGCAGCAAGGACATTGTCTTCAAGTGCCATTTATCGTGTCTACATGGAACCTGGCCTCGCTGGTGAAATGGGCTGGAAGTGAACAAGATAATCTAGAACATCTTCTTATCCCAGAGAGCAGAGATGACAACTAGGACTAATGCAGTCACATCCAAAGAAATAAAGAGTCGGCTGGGCACTCTTGAGGGTAGGAGTTCGAGGCCCCCCTGGCCCCACAGGTGGCTGATGCCTGCAATCCGAGCACTGTGGGAGGCCGAGGCAGGTGGATCACCTGAGGTCAGGAGTTTGAGATCAGCTACTTGGGAGGCTGAGGCAGGAGAATCGCTTGACCCTGGGAGGCAGAGGTTGCATTGTGCCAAGATGGTGCCATCGCACTCCAGCCTGAGCAGCAAGAGCAAAACTCTGTCTCAAAGTAATAAAAAAGCTAGAGTCCGGAGAAACTCTCAGTAGACGGACGTGGGACAGTCTCACCCAATTTCTTAAATGAACTGATGCACATCAATATGTTTAAACGAGTGAGGAATTTTACACAAATAATAATACACACACTGCAAAATGTGAAACTCAGCTGCCTTTAGAGGATCTAGGAACCAATTCATTATTGTGAACATGAGTGAATAAAGGAAGAGAATCAGGCACTTATTCTATCTCTGATAGACAAACTCTATCTTATGGTCACCAAAAACTCAGAGGAAGTATTCCAGTTTATAAATAAAGAAGAAATCACAGAACTAGTAACTCACGGCCGGGCGCAGTGGCTCACGCCTGTAATCCCAGCACTTTGGGAGGCCGAGGCGGGTGGATCATGAGCTCAAGAGATTGACACCATCCTGGTCAACATGGTGAAACCCCGTCTCTACTAAAAATACAAAAATTAGCTGGGCATGGCAGCACGTGCCTGTAATCCCAGCTACTCGGGAGGGTGAGGCAGGGGAATTGCCTGAACCCAGGAGGCGGAGGTTGCAGTGAGCTGAGATCACGCCGTTGCACTCCAGCCTGGGTAACAAGAGCGAAACTCCGTCTCAAAAAAAAAAAAAAAAAAAAGAACTAGAAACTCACCATTTTGTAACCCCTAATGAAATCATGGGTTTATCAAATGTATTGCATCTAGCCAAAGCAGTGTGTGAAGGGAAATTTATAGGTTAAACGCATACGTTGGAGTGAAAAAGGAAAGCTTACGCTCTTTCAGCCAAAAACCTATCTCTGCGCCTGGCAGTGTTTCCACACAGCACAGAATGGGGTGGTGACTAGGAGACTTATAGGCATCCTGGTTCTCCTCTCCTCTGGGAACAGGTCGGGTGGCAGGTGTGGGGTGGCCCCTCCAGGAGCCCCCTCTAAGTTAGGTGTGGCTGTGTGACTTCCCCGAGCCGGGGGACGCGGTCTGAAGCACCTGCTGCAGTTTTCTGCATGCCCGGTCTCTTCTCCCACCATGACCTCTGACGTTCCAGGCAGTGGCTGCGGCTCCCGACTGAGTCTCAGAGTGACGAAGCCCAGAGCAGAGTCACCAGCTGACGTGCAGTGGCCTGCGGTGTGAACAAGAAGTGAGCTGCGTCGTGTGAAGTCGCTGACACGTGGGGTGGTGGCCTGTTTGGGCAGCATAATTGGTCTCTCCTGGTTGACCCAGAAACCTAGGAACAGAAGCACAGCTTTGTGGCCTTGGTTTATGGGTCGGGGGTGGGTGAAACGAAAGTTATCAGCGGCGAGAGAGGTAGTTATTATGTATTTGGTAAGACTGTCCCAGATCCTGTATCCCTGGGGGAAGAGCTGAGAACACAGAATGCCACTCCTGCGTGGGTCGTTGTGGCTGCATTTATCAAAGCATTACAAGAGCAGGGTGAGCCCGAAAGAACCGGCTGGTCTGCCAGCCAGAAGGAAAGGACTAGAAAGCCTGGGGAGCTAGAGCTCTCAGTTCTGCCTGGTAAATGATAATACTTAAAAGACCTTTGAGCAGCAAAGGGCAGTTACAGCCCAAGTGAAAGGAACCCTCCCTCTTTAAGGGTACACTTTGATGAGGTTTCATGAGGGTGGACCACACTGCAGGCAGGCAGCCTGGCCACTGGGGTGGGAGGGGCTGCTGTGGGGTCAGTGGGTCCCAAAGAGGACGCCAGAAACTTCTCCCCATGTGGCTCACTTGGCTTTCTCTGCGTGGCCTGTGGTTCCTGTGGGTAGATTTGTGTCTTGCTGTGTGATTTAGAGGTTTCTCCAAGGGAAGAGAGGACGGTCTTTGGCCCAGGTAGGACCCAGTGACCTGCAGATCAAAGAGGGTCTCCCTGTCACAGTAATGGGCACCAGAGAAAGGCCTGCTGCTCGACATCCACTGGAAATAGGCCAATGGAACCAAGGCTGTCTGTGCTTGTGGTGTGGGGAAGAGAAGAGAAAGCAAAAGAAAAAAACCTTCCTTAAAAGTGCACAGATGTCACATGATTGCTAGCAAGATTTAACACACAGTTGTAACTCCACACGCATTCAACAAAGACAAAATCAAGTGTTGGATATTTTATGGGTAGTTTTTTGATAAAATCATAGGACTGCCTGATGCAGCATCCTTCATTCCACA